GAAGTTCCCTTTCCTAGTTTACTCAACAGGATTTTCAGATTGCAGTTTATCATGGTGAATTCCAGAGATGCTCTTAGAACTAAAGTTTAACATAGCCCAGGTTTGAGGCCAGGAATTGAATGATACCATGGCTTTTGACCCCAAGTTATCTTGAATGAGTTACTGTAAGACTGATGTTCTTAGTGGCTAAAGGCTTACGTTTACTTCATTCAACAAGTATTTATTGACTGCCTACTATATGCAGACACTAGACAATAATTAAAATAAATACTATTATTTTAAGTACATATAAGTATTTGTAATATATATGTACATATAGAATATACATAAAATATATCCTAATGCATAAATATATCCTGTCAAATATGTTTCTTTTATTAATATTTTGTAGTTTTCAGTTTAATTTCTTTTATTAATGTTTTGTAGTTTTCAGTATACCATTCTTTTATTTATCTGGCTAAATTTGTTCCTACGTATTTTATTCTTTTGGGTGCTATTGTAAATTGAATTGTTTTCTTAATTTCCTTTTCACATTACTCATCACTGGTGTATAGAAACAAAACTTTTTTGTGTGCATTGATCCTGTACCCTGCAACTTTCTGAATTCATTTCTTAACTCTAGTAGTTTTTTGTGGATTCTTTGGGATTTTCTGTTTTTAACATCATGTCATCTGTGAATAGAGATAGTTTTACTTCCTAATTTAGATGTTTTTTATTTCTTTTCCTTGCCTAATTGCTCTGGCTAGAACTTACAATACAGTGTTAGATAGCAATGGTGAGAGGTAGACATCCTTGTCTTGTTCCTAATCTTGGCAGGCAGGGTGGGAGGGACCTTTCAGTCTTTCAACCATTGAACGTAATAGTATCTGTAGATATTTCATAAATGCCCTTTATCACGTTAAGGAAGTTCCCTTCTATTCCAAGGTTTTGAGAGCTTTTATTAAGAAGGAGTGCTGGATTTTGTCAAATGCTTTTTCTGCACCAATTGAGATGATCATGTGTTTGTTTTGTTTTGTTTTGTTTTGTTTTTGCAGTAAGAGGGCCTCTCACTGTTGTGGCCTCTCCCTTTGCGGAGCACAGGCTCTGGAGGCGCAGGTTCAGCGGCCATGGCTCACGGGCCCAGCCGCTCCGCGACATGTGGGATCCTCACGGACTGGGGCACAAACCCGTGTCCCCTGCATCGGCAGGCGGACTCCCAACCACTGCGCCACCAGGGAAGCCCATGATTTTTGTTTTGCTTTTACTTCATTCTATTAATGTGGTGTATTACATTGATTGATTTTTCTTTGTTGAGCCACCCTTGTATTTCTGGGATAAATACCACTTGATCGTGGTGTATAATACTTTTAATGTGCTGTTGGATTTTGTTTGCTAATACTTTGTAGAAGATTTTTGCATTAGTATTCACAAGGGATATTGGCCTGTAGTTTTCTTGTGATGTCTTTGTCTGGTTTTGATATCAGGGTAATAACGGCCTTACAGAATGAGTTAGGAAGTGTTCCCTCTGCTTCCGTTTTTTGGAAGAGCTTGGGAAATACTGACATTAAATCTTCCTTAAATGTTTGGTGGAATTCACCAGTGAAGCTGTCTGGACTCAGGTTTTTCTTTGGAGGTTTTTTTTTTTTTTTTTACATCTTTATTGGAGTATAATTGCTTTACAATGGTGTGTTAGTTTCTGCTTTATAACAAAGTGAATCAGCAATACATATACATATATCCCCATATCTCTTCCCTCTTGCCTCTCCCTCCCTCCCACCCTCCCTATCCCACCCCTCTAGGTGGTCACAAAGCACCAAGCTGATCTCCTGTGCTATGCGGCTGCTTCCCACTAGCTATCTATTTTACGTTTGGTAGTGTATATATGTCCATGCCACTCTCTCACTTTGTCACAGCTTACCCTTACCCCTCCCCATATTCTCAAGTCCATTCTCTAGTACTTTGGAGGTTTTTGATTACTTACTCACTTTCTTTACTTGTAAGTCTGTTTAGACTATATTTCTTCTTGAGTCAGTTTTGGTAATTTGTGTTTTTCCAGGAATTTGTGTATTTCATCTAGGTTATCTAATTTGTTAGCATATAATTGTTCATAGTTTTCTCTTATAATCCTTTTTTTTAAAAATAAATTTATTTATTTATTTTTGGCTGTGTTGGGTCTTCGTTGCTGCATGCAGGCTTTCTCTAGTTACAGCAAGCGGGGGCTACTCTTCATTGCGGTGCGCGGCCTTCTCATTGCGGTGGCTTCTCTTGTTGTGGAGCACAGGCTCTAGGTGTGAGGGCTTCAATAGTTGTTGCACGTGGGTTCAGTAGTTGTGGCTTGCGGGCTCTAGAGCGCAAGCTCAGTAGTTGTAGCAAAAGGGCTTAGTTGCTCTGCAGCATGTGGGATCTTCCTGGACCAGGGCCCGAACCTGTGTCCCCTGCACTGGCAGGCAGGTTCTTAACCACTGCACCACCAGGGAAGTCCGTCTTGTAATCCTTTTTATTTCTGTAAGATCAATAGTAATGTTTCCACTTTTATTTCTGATTTTAGTTATTTGCATCCTCTTCTTTTTTTTTTTTGTCAGCCAGGCTGTAGATTTATTAGTCTTGTTGTTCTTTTTTTTTTTTTTGCAGTACGCGGGCCTCTCACTGTTGTGGCCTCTCCCATTGCGGAGTACAGGCTCCGGATGCGCAGGCTCAGCAGCCATGGCTCACGGGCCCAGCCGCTCCGCGGCATGTGGGATCTTCCCAGACCAGGGCACGAACCCGTGTCCCCTGCATCGGCAGGCGGACTCTCAACCACTGTGCCACCAGGGAAGCCCTTGTTGTTCTTTTTAAAGAAATAACTTTTAGTTGTGTTGCTTCTCTTGTTTTTCTATTCTGTATTTCATTTTTCTCCACTCTTATCATTTTATTATTTCCCTCAGTTGCTAGCTTTGCGTTTAGTTTGCTCTTCTTTTTCTAGTCCTCAAGGTACAGAGTTGTGACTGATTTCTTTCTTTTTAATGTAGGGCTCCACTGTTATACACTTCCCTCTGAGTGCTGCTTTTATTGTATTACATGATTTTTATTATGATGTGTTTTGTTTTTACTTGTCTCTATTTTATAACTTCCCTGTGATTTTATCTTTGGCCTATGGTTATTTAAGGGTAGTTTAATTTCGGGACCTCCCTGGTGGTCCAGTGGTTAAGAATCTGTCTTCTGGGCTTCCCTGGTGGTGCAGTGGTTGAGAGTCCGCCTGCCGATGCAGGGGACACGGGTTTGTGCCCTGGTCCGGGAAGATCCCACATGCCGCGGAGCAGCTAGGCCCGTGAGCCATGGGCGCTGAGCCTGCGTGTCTGGAGCCTGTACTCCACAACGGGAGAGGCCACAACAGTGAGAGGCCCGCGTACCGCAAAAAAAAAAAAAAAAGAATCTGTCTTCTGATGCAGGGTACACGGATTCGATCCCTGGTCAGGGAACTAAGATCCCACATGCCACGGAGCAGCTAAGCCTGCACTGCAACTATGAGCCCTTCCGCTCTAGAGCCTGCAGTCCACGACTAAAGAGAAGCCTGTGGGCTGCAACTAGAGAAGCCCCCGCACCGCAAGGAAGAGCCCTCGACTTGCAACGCGTGCCGCAACTAAGACCCAACACAGCCAAACAACAATTAAAAAAAAAAAAGAGTAGTTTAATTTCTACATACAGTTGATCCTCATTTTTCATGCATTGCTTGTTTGTAAGTTTACCTACTCAGTAGAATTTGTCGCTCGAGAATCAGTACATTCAGACCTGTGTAGAGTGGTGAAAAATTTGAGTCATCTGGTATACATGTTCCCAGCCAAGGCTGAGCAAGGCAATAAACTGCTTTCTTGTTTCGGCTGTTATACTGTAAACAAGAGTCCTTTTTGCAGTCTGTTCAGTACCACATTTGTCATGTCTTTGTGCTTTTTTTTGATGGCTTTGCTGTTTAAAATGGTCCCCAAGCTGCAGTGCTGTTTAGTGTTCCTACATACAAGAAGGCTGTGATATGCTTTACAAAGGAAATATACGTGTGTGAAGTAAGATTCATTCAGGCACCAGTTATAGTTCTTTTGGCCATGGTTCAATATTAATGCATCAACAATATAGTACATCCAGAAAATGGAAGAGGAAATTCACTGATGTGTATGTAAGGCCACTCTGGAAATGCTGAAGTAGTATCTGTAGTGTCTGATGAAGCTATGGAAAAGATGGAAAAGTGGCTGACTTTGTGGATTCATGAGATGATAACCAATTAAAAAAAAGAAAGCATAGTGGACAGCATCGTTATGAAGCTGAAAGTCAATGAAATCATGTTACCCAGAGTAAGGAAAATATTAAATTCTTCTCTTGTAGTACTGACTGGCCTGCACATTTCAAAAGACTATACAGCATGAAAAATGTTAAACTTTCAATAATCCTGAGTCAAGATCAAGAGGCTGTGGGAGAATCTTTAGGTTGTCTGCTAAGTGTTATTTAGGAAAAAGGCTATGTGGAAAAGCAGGTTTTCAATGCTGACGAGACTGGCTTATAGAACTATTTCTCCAATTCTGTCAGTGTTTGCTTCAGTTATTTTTGGGCTTTGTTTGGTGCAAATGTGTTTACAATCATTATATCTTCTTAATGAATTGATCCTTTTATCAATACATATTGTCCTTTGTCTTTGGTAACAATTTTTGACCTGAAGTCTGTTTTATCTGATTTTAGTAGTGCCACATAGTTCTCTCTTTTGGTTACTATTTGCATGAAATATGTTTTTCCATTTGTTCACATTCAACCTATTTGTGTCTTTGGATCCAAAGTGAGTCTCTTTAGGCAGCATACAGTTGGATCGTGTTTTCTTATCCATTCTACCAATCTCTGCCTTTCATTGGAGAGTATAAACCATTTCCATCTAAAGTAATTACTGATAAGGAATGACTTTTGACATTTTGCTATTTGTTTTCTGTATGTCTTTTACTTCTAATTTCCTACATTACTGTTTCTTTCGTGTTTGAGTTTTTTATAGTGTACCTTTTTTTTAACCTTGTTTTAAACTAGCCCACATGCTATATAGCAGATGCTATGAGCACAGCTTCAGGACTACTATTCCTCCTTTTACGACCACTGAGACCAGGGTTCAAATCCAATGGGAAAGGGAACTGGAGGGTTATGGCATACCATTTTGATTCCCTTCTTATTTCCTTTTGTGTATATTCTTTAGATACTTTCTTTGTGGTTACCATGGGGATTACAATTAATAACTAGATATATTTTGAAGGTATAACTGACACTTTTAATGGATTGGATGATGGGTATGAATGAGGAAATCAAGGTTAACAACAAGGTATTTGTTGTTTTTTGAGGAATGGAACAGTGGAGAAGTCATTTATTAGGAAGGAGATAACCATAGGAATTTAAGCTGGTCAGATGTGGAGACGGCAGAGAAATCAGGAGTTCAGATTTAGTCATGTTACATTTGAGATGCCTGTTAGACATTGATCACGTAGGCAGTTGGATAATAAAAGTCTGAGATTCAGGAGACGTGTCCTGGCTAGAGATGGAAATTTGAGTCATGAACATATGGATTGTATATAAATCCTTGGGACTGGATGAGATCACTAAGGGAGTGAGTGTAGATTGGGAAATGGGCACACTAATACTAAAGAGCTGTGAATAAAGGGGAGAACTAACAAAAATGACTGAAAAGGAGTGGTCTATGTATATTTTATATATTTGTAATAGATTCTGTCATTTCTTAGGAAAGGATAATTCCACATAAATCTGTTTTCTTTCCAGCAATATCTAAATGAGGACAGTGGTCCTAAATATTAGTGGTCCTAAATTTTAGAGACAGTTTAACATAAAATAAAAAGGTAGTTATAATTTGGATATTCTTAAATATAAAATAAGTGTGCCAGATGAATTGGTTATTATGCATAATCTTCCTCCCCCAACATGATCCCACTTTAGGAATATTACTTTATCTAGTTTTTCTAGGTGGTTTTACTTTTTTTTTTTTTTTTTTTTTGCGGTACGCGGGCCTCTCACAGTTGTGGCCTCTCCCGTTGCGGAGCACAGGCTCTGGACGCGCAGGCTCAGCGGCCGCGGCTCACGGGCCTAACCACTTCGCGGTATGTGGGATCTCCCCGGACCGGGGCGCGAACCCATGTCCCCTGCATCAGCAGGCAGACTGTCCACCACTGCGCCACCAGGGAAGCCTGGTTTTACTTTTTATAGTCATTAAAATGTGTGATCTTTTTTATCTGCTTAAAAGATTGCTTGATAAAATACTTCTTTGCTTTGATACTGTAATTATACTGAATTCTGTTCTGTGGGGAGCGAATGCGAAAGTTATGTAGTCAGAACTGAATCAGGTCTTCCCCCAAATGTGTTTCTTTCCACAAAAAAAATCTAGGGAAAATATTGTGAAGGTAGAGACTAATTGCTTAAAAAAAATCAAACATCAATAAAAAAAAATGACTTGTTCTTTTCCCAAGTAGTCATCTTACCCCAGTGAGATCTAAAGGTGCTCTGGAATAGGGGAAAAGCTTCCGCATCTAGCTTGTTTGTATTCCTAACTCTCCCATTTAAACACCTTGGAGTTAGTAAACCTGAATAAAGGTGGATTAAGTTAAATTCAGTTAACTTAAAATGCTTCTTTTTGCCTACCTTCAGTCCTAGCTTTTGAGACTTAATAAATGAATTTTTCTTCTATCTATTGTGTAAGAGAATTCCCACCAATAACTTTGCACTTTTTTACTTCCTTATGGGGTCTAAGTGAAAAAAGACAAAGAAGAAAGACGCATAGGAGACTTTTTTGGTGGTGGTGGTAGTTTTTACTTCTTTGCCTCTCCCTTGCTATTAACAGTTAAAAAAAAAATTAACAGAAAAATTGAAAATACCTGAGTGCCTGCTACAGAGACAAAAGCCACTGTTATCATCTCTCAACTAGATTGTAAGAGCAGCCTCCTAACTGGTCTTCCTGCTTCCACCCTTGCTCCCTTATTGTCTAATCCCATGACACTGCTCTGCTCAAAACCCCGCAATGGCTCCCCATTTGATTCCCCACAAAATCAGATTTCTTACGGAGGGCTCTCAGGCTCTGGCTGCCATGACCTCTCTCACCTCTCCTCCTACCTGCTCTCTCTGTTCCAGCCACACTAGCTTCCTTGCCAGTCGCATTTCCTCATTAAAGACTTTGCTCTACCTGATCCCACTCCCTCATATATGTTCTTTCCTCAGATACCTGGTTGGCTAATTCTCTCACTTCCATCCAGTCTTGCCTTAAATCTCAGCTTGTCAATATAAAGCCTACACTGACTATCTTTTAATACTTTAACCTGCCCCACTCACACTCCCATACTCCTCATCCTATTTCTGTTACAGTTTTAATTATGATAGGTGTGGTTATGCTCTGGTAATGACTTAACCCTGAAAACAGCTTAACAACAAAAGCTTATTTCTCATTTGTGTTTCATATCCATTATGGGTTAGCAAATGACTCTGTTCCACTTAGAACCTCAGGGACCCAGGCTGATGGAAGTTTGCCCATCTTGTGATGCATCTCAACATGCAGCTTCCAGCGTCCCATCTGTAGGGAAGAGAGAGTTCATAGAATGATTGAAAGGGGCAGAAGTCACCTTTTTCCCAGTTCATTGTCAGAACCAGTCACATGGCCCCAATCTAACTGCAAAAGGAGCACAAGGAATATTTGGTGAACATTACTGTTTCAACACCTGCTCTCTTTTTATTTCTCCATAGTACTTATCATGTTTTATTGTATAATTTGTATATTTTATGTAAAATGTCATTTATATATTTACATACTGTATAATTTGCATATTTTGTTTTTATTATTTAGTGCCTTTCCTCAGCAAGAATTTAAAACTTATTCTCCTAGAAAACCTCACTACTTACAGCTTCTTGGACACAAGCATTTCTTCATTTGCTCCTGCTGTTTGTAATGTCCTCTATCTTTTTTGCCCTGTGCTCCTTTTTCCTCTAAAGAGTAAATCCGACTTATATTTTGGGACAATTTGAATCTTAATCTGGGAGACTCAACTAACATCCTTAAACTAAGTTAAAGGCCCATCCCTTAGACTCCCTCTGAATTTTTATTATACTCCTATCATAGCCCTTAACCTCCTTATAGGGTTACATGTCTGTCTGCCCCATTAACCAAGTTCCTCATGCACATGGAAGAATGTCTGGAGAAATACATGGGGCCTAGAAAAGAAACTATGAGGATCCGAATAAGGACAGTATAAGTAGGGTGAAGAGATGACAGAATCAAGAAATATTTAGAAAGTAAAATCAGCAAGACTTGCTTATTGGTTGAATATGAGGGATAAGGGAGAAATCAAGGATAATTCATACTTCTCATTTAGATTATGATACTTCCAAGTGAAATAGGGAATATGAGAGGAGGAGCAAGTCTAGGTGGTAGGATGATGAGTTGGGTTTGAGGTATAGTATGTTTAACTCCATAAGGATCTCAAGATGGAGATATGTGCAGGGGTTGGCTAAATGGTTCTTAATCCAAGGACATGGATAGGTGTTCAGCATGCTAAGTAGTAGTTAAAAGATAAGAAAAGGTGAGACTGCCAATAACTACTAAGGGCAGAACCCTTAGTTAAACTAACGTTTAAGGAACAATTAGAGGAATACATGCTCTTGTGCAGAAAACACAGAAAAAAATAGGTGGTGAAAGGGGAACCACGAGAGTGTGATGCTGTAGAAATCAAGGTATTTAGACTTTCAGGAAGAAATATGTGGGCCATGTTAAAAGCAGTAGAGAAGTCAAATCAAAACAACTGTGTACTAAATCTTGACCACTTTTCTTGCAACGTTACTTAACTCTTTCAACTCCACTTCTTATTGAACCACCTTGAATTCTTATTGAATTGAACTATCTCAGCTTCAATTTCATTGAGAAATTTGAAGTTATCAGGCACATGCCCATCCATCAATCATTTCCTCCTTCCGTTTAATATCAGGAGCTTCAAAGCCAAGTCTGATACCAGTGCCATTAATACTAAGAGTTGTCTACATTTTAAGTTTTTTCCCAATTTATGGCTTTCTGCTCCCAGTATCCCACCACAATTTTTTGCAATAAGGTTGCCATTTGAAATTTTAGTGGAGGGGCAAAAATGGACAACAAATTACGTGATGCTGAATATCAAAAGGAAGATGTGGAAATGCAAATAGCAGTCAGTCACTGATGGAAGTGAGAGGGAGATAATGCCTCCTCCCCAAGGGAGCAATGATATTCACCTGGACCAGATTCAGGTGTTATTCCAGAGGCACTTTCATTTTGGAGCTACAGTAAAAGTATGTCTCTTACTTGTTTTTCTTGTGTAGCATACCAGTGATTGAATCTTTACTGTAGAAGCAAAAATGAGCCAATTCCCACAACGAAGATTGTAGAAGCATTCCATTTGATTCATTTGTTCATTCATGTAAAAGTATTTCCTGAATGTCTGCTATGTGCCATGCTTATGGTTAGGTGCTGGGAATACAACGGAGAGTAAAAAACACATAGTTCTTGTTCTCCTGGAGTTTTGTAGTATAGTGATTTTTTATTTGCTTGTTTATATTTAACCTAATTTATTTAACTAATTTTACTTTTTTTTCCCTTTAGTATCCTCTTATATATGGACTGATTCTTATTCCCTGCTGGTGTTCTCTAGTTTGCCTAAGTAGAATTTACATGGGCATGCACTCCATTCTGGTAAGGAAAACATTGTGTTCATAGAGCTTTATTTTTTTCTAAAATCGACAGGCAATTGTATAATTTTTACTCATTTTCAAACTTACTGGAAACCTAAATGAGAAAATATAGTTACTGTAAATCTTCTTTGTTTTGCAAAAATAGAAACAGGATGCTTTGTAAAGTTTTAATGTAGTTATCACGTATTTCATACAAACAGTTCCCACAATAACCAAGTATTATACTCAGGATAACATTTCTCCCTCCTTCCATTTTCACTTTTCTTTTCTTTCTCATTCTCTTCTATGCCTTTCCTACCACTGAGTCAAAACCAACAATGTAAATAAAGACACCAAGGAGCTCTACTTATAAGTGAGGACCCAGTGACTAGAAGCTAAATGAACTTAAAACTGTCCTGGTGCCACTTGTATTTGAATATTAAACTCTAGTTTTCTTCTC